GGCGGGGCGGAAGGCGTGGCGTGACTCAGAGCATCCATGTAGTCTGGAGAGGAGCGGCAGGGCCGAAGTGGTGATGGCGTGAAGGCGGAGCAGGGGCCGTGGTGGGGTACATGATGGAGGCTGCATGAGCAGGCGTGGCAGGTAGGGGTGCAGAAAGGGGAGACTTCGCCTTGAAGCAGCACTTCCGGGGGAAGCTGGGCCCTGGGTGCTGGGTGCGTGACGTCTGAGGCACTCTGGGGGGTGGTCCTGAGGCAGCGTGGTCGGTCTGAGCTTACTCTGGGGGTTGTCGTGGTTAGCAGAGTTATTGGGACTTGGGGGGTGGTGAGAGTAGTCCTCGTCTCTGGAGGGAATTTTGAGGAGTAAGAAATGCAAGTTTAGGGCCGGAGAGAAGTGGAGACCTGGCCAGGCTCAGATGGGGGCAGCGGGACCGTTGGAGACAGGAGAGGCAGAGCGCGTTCTGTGGTGGGGGACAGCTCAGTGGGGACAGAGATGCACTGACCTGGGCCGGGGGAACTGTGCGGGGGTTGGTGTAGCCCCGGGAAGAACACTGCGGACCCAAGGGCTAGCACTGGTGGAGGAGCCCCTGGCCTGCCAGCAACTGAGGGCAGAGTCTCCGGCGGGCTGCGAGGGGCGAGAGCTGGCCCTGCTTTTACTTGGTCCGGTGAAGTTGGATGGAGGCTGTGAGCGGGAGGAGGGAAGGGGAGACCCATCGGCCCTCTGCCCAGCCTGGCAGGTGGGAACCATCCATATTCAGGCCCCGGAGCCAGGCAGGCCCAGGAGGGATGCTGGGGCCGGGAAGTGGAGGAGGAACGGGCCGGCGTCTGGTGGAGCTCGGCATGGGCAGTGGGGGCTTTGGAGGGCAGGGCCGAGGGAGGAAAGGAGGTGGCAGCAGAGGAGATGGGCATGGCTGAACGTCACCTTCCTGTGCACTTCTGGGGTAAAGAAGATCCTGACTAGCCACTTCTCTCTAGAGCTTCATCACCATCGTCATGACCCATAGTGTGTCCGTGTACAGGGCCGAGGCGCTCTCGTTCATCTGATTGGGAAGTGGTGTCTCCCCATCCAGCAGCCGACCTGTGGCCTCGTAGGGCCCAAATCTCCCCCAACTTCAGGCTGTGTGTCATAACCTACTGTCTCCCGGGCTTCCCACATCACTCTTCACTGTCCCCCTTGCCCCAGGATCTCACGAGGTATTTCCCTGTGGCCCAGTGCAGAGCATCTGTATCTGGGGGATTCTGCCAGGTAGGGGACTTCGCGGAAGACTCCCATCCAGCAGCCAGGAGCCACATCCAGCAGGTGGCATAGTGGTGGCAGACAGACCATGCGTGCTTGTGCAGAAACAGAACAGGACCCAGGCCCAGAAATGGGGTATGCTGTGAAAGAGGAAGAGAGAGGGAGGAGGTGACAGGCAGCCCAGCACAGTGGAGGAGGTAGAGGGGTAGGAGGCAGGCCTTGGCCCTTGGGCACTCTGGATGACAGCCCCATGCACCTGGGCCAGCTGCCCCCTGCTGCATACCAGGTGTCCCCCACATAGCTCTGCACAGTGATCGGTATTGCTACTGTTTCTGGGACATGGCTCTGCAGGATGGCTTGATTTTACCTCACGACAAACCTCAGCTGGAAGACACGATAGCCAGAGGCCAGCATCCTCTGGAGGCTCGTCCATCCTCAAGTTTGAAGGGGGTGTTGGTGCACGGCTGGGCCACCACCTGCCCTCTCTGTGTGGCCAGGGCTCCCTCACAATATGGCGGCTGGCTTCCTGTGCACGCATCAGGGAAGGGAAGCAAGAGGTAGAGAAAGAGAGTGGAGTTGAGGGGTACAGGGAGAGGGCAAAGGGGAGAGACAGAGACTGACAGAGACGAGAGAGGAAGAAGCAGGTGGGTGCAAGGAGGAGAAGGGGGCGAGGAGAAGATGGAGACAGACAGATAGACAGACACTCGTGGCAGTGGGCTCCGTTATTTTCCATCTCACCTGAGATGTAGCAGAACCTCATGTCTATGGTTGGGGGCACCCAGAACCCCTAGTTGTAGGGGTAGGAGTGAAGAACCCCTCTGGTGGGAAGAGTGTTTGTCACCACTAAGAGGAGCTGTGGGATGGGACGGCCCTGGCCAGCTAGGAATGTCTCTGTCCCTGTCACAGTGTCTCCACGCTGCAGGGCTACACCTCAATTGACTTACTTTCCCTTCGGGTTTTGGGAATGACGTTCTTGAATGGAAAGAAACCCTAAGCATACCTTCAGGCTGCTTCAGGGGGAGAAGCTGCGTCTGAGTTCCAGACTCCTCCCGGAGTCCTTTGGGCAGCATCTCCCAGGAGGGTGCGTAGGCGTTTAACATTCAGCGGAAGGCGAAAGACTTGTGAGAGGTTGGGGTGGAGGGACCAGGTGTGAGATTCAGGAAATGATGACTGACGAGATACATCCCAGGGCCAGTACCGTGGCCTGGAGGTGAAGGGAGCCGAGTCCCATGTAGCCGACCACATGGTTTGAACCCTAGCCCCAGGGACTTGAAAACTCACAGACATGTGTCATGCACACCCAAAGTCTCAGCCAGATGAGGGATGGAGGAAAAGGGGCTGCAGCACGACTACATCCTGTTGGGGGTGGTTCTTTCTTTCCCCCCCTCTGCCTTGCTCTGGTGAGTGCACGCACCTTCTAAAAATTTAAAAAGAAAAGAAAAAAGGAAGGAAGGAAGGAAAAGAAAGGGAGAAAAGAACCAGAAAAGAAAAGGAAAAAGAAGAAAGACAAAGGAAAAGAAAGGAAGAAAGAAAGAGAAAAAGAAAGGAAGAGAAAGAAAGGACGGAAGGGAGAAAAACGAGAGACAGAACCGAGGTGCGGCTGCTGATTCAGCTCCCGGTGCCTTGGCTGGCTTCAGCACGTCCCATCCTGCCCTCTCTTCCGGCTCTTCGGCAGCTTCAGATCACACGGATGACGCAGGTGACCGGCAGGCCTGCGTGTGGCGGGCACGTGGGCACAGCACAGCGGGGTGGGGGCAGTGTTTCTTACTGTCAGCGTCACTGCTTCCGTGCCAAGTGAGAACCAAACTAGCCACAGCAGAGAGGTGGAATTGGAGATGGTCATTACAGGGAGAAGGCCCTTTGCCACAGGGAGCATGTTCCCCCTGGACATCTGCTAGCTCTCGGAGGTTAGGCAAAGCCGGTGCTTCTCTTACTGGGAGGAGTGGACCAGGCTGGACGGACCCCTGCGGGGAGACTGGGTGTGGTGCTGGAGGCGGTGTGGCTGTGGACATGGTGGGCAGGTCTGTGACTGCTCCCGGGAGGAGCTGCATGCTGACTCAGGAGAATCACTTAGCTAAAGTCTGGTGAACAAGAATTTTGGTCCGACTGATCAGTGGGGACAAGCCATTCAGCCACCATGTCCGAGGCAAGCAGTGGGAATTTGGAGGGCCTCTGGCCTTCCATAGGTAAACAGGGCGCAGCTGTGAGTCTGGCTGTCTATGGAGGCTCTTTTCAGTGTCTCAGAACACAAAGATGAGGACGTCTTGCTCGTCGCTATCTCCCAAGATCTCAGAGCTCATGTACAGGTCAGCCGGGCCATGTGGTTCTGAGAAAGGGCAGGTGTGTGAGCACCAGATCCCACGCCCATTGAGGCAGGGCCAGCCATCCGCTTTGTCACGAGCGGCGAGCTCCCCGTCCCTGCAGGGGTTAAGGCTGGGCCATTTGTGTAAAGGTGTCTGGTGTAAAGGGCCAGGCCCCGGAGGCCTCTGGGATGGACGTTCATCGCTGAGGGGCTCATGTGAGGTGGGTGCATGTGCTTCTGGGTGAGTGGGGGAGAGAGGCGCTCTGTCAATCCTCCTGGCAGTCCAAAAACTCAGCATTACTCTTGGAGAGTGGGATTAAACTTCTTTGGAAGATGTCTGTCTAGAAGCGACCGTTAGAGATGTCCATCAAAAATCAGAGCTTAGGGCCCACCCACGGCATGGTGGTCAAGGGGCTGGACCTCACGAGGCCGACTGCCTGTGTGAGTCCCGGATGTGGCGGCTTCAGAAGCACGCCGGGCACACACACACACACACACACACACACGCACACACACGCCCAGAACCCTTCCAGGAGGGAGACACGAGGAGAAGGAGTTGTGGCATGACCATCCCCATGGGGGGGCACTTTCTCATTCCCCCACCCCTCTCTTTACTTCTCTCTGCTGAGTGCATGTGCCTCTGGCGAAATTTATAAAACAAACAAACAAACAAAAACCACAAAAAACTGAAAACACAGCCTGCTGTCATTTTTCAAGACTTTCTTTCAAGTCATACGATAGTTTTCAGAAGAAAGAGCCTGCTGTCACTAAGCCCGAGTGCCTGTAAGAGGCCCGTGAACCAGGATGCTGCATTTTGGAGCCCTCCAGTAAAGGGGTCCCTTTTTTCTTTTTTTTTTGAGAGTTTTTTTTTTTTTTTTTTTCCACAGGGCGCGCGTGCTCGCCAGAAAGACAGAGAGAAACAGAGAAAGCAAGAAGTCACCCCCCAGGGGGGATGGCCATGCTGCAATCCTTTCCACTCTATTCTCCTCTCGGGATCTTGGGCGCTGGCGTGAATTTAAGCCACCAGGTTCAGGACTTGAACCTCGGTCCACTATATGGGAGTCCAGTGACATAGCCATTACACCAACTCCTGGTCCCAAGTAAAGGGTCCTTTACTCCATCTCTGGTAGGAGCTCAGGGCTTTGACATGAGTGAGCTACAGTGCCACGCCTGGACCACCAGCAGTGACACCGCCACCGTAGACCCGAGTCCAGGCACCCTCGCCACGTGGCCATCTTTGAGCGAGCACGGTGGTTGAACCATCAGCTCCTCAGAGACAGGGCTAGCATGTATTTCGGGCATTGCTGTCAATGACGGTGCGTTTCCTTGGGCTCTGACTGTTTTCAGAGCGTCCCGGTGGTGGCAGCACTGTGTGCCTGGCCTCAGAGGTCGGTGGGTGACCGAGGGCATCTGGAAACGGGTTAACCGCCCTCCATGGAGGAGGCGGGCCCTGGCGGCCCGTGGCGGCCCCCGACTTCTGGTCAGTAGTGTGGACCGAGGCTCCCAGAGGTCTGCGCTTTGGTAAACATCTTTGATGGGCCAAGTGTTCCCGCCCAAGACAGCGAGTGCCGAGTGACCTCGGGTCCTGCTCCACGGCACGCCCTCC